ACGGCACTGCTAATGAGAGCACTGGTACGGCTACTGCCGACTCGGAAGGAGACCACGGTGAGCCACCTACTCGGATGCTGAGCAGGGGCCCTGGCGGCGGCGGCGGCCCTGGCGGCGGCGGCGTTGATGTGCCTAGTGAGGAGGGCACCGGTGATATCACAGGGACCCCCCGCGGTGCAGTCGTACCGGCGGTACGGCCACCCCGGCTACGGCTACAGCTGCGGCGTCAGCGGCACGACGACAGCTCGGCTGTCCCTTGGGACCCCCCGGCAGTAGCTCCCGGCTCGGGCGCGTCAGAGGCCGCGTCTGCTCCACAGCCAGCGCCACATGCGGCGGGGCCGCGGCTACAGCCGCAGTCGCGGTCACTGCTGCAGCCCACACAGACGCTAAGGAGCTTGCTGCTACAGCCGCCGACTCTGCGGCGGCGGCAGCAGGAGCCGCCAGTACGGCAGCAGCAGCAGCAGCGGGAGGAGGAAGTGGCTGTGCGGGTGTCGCAATCCTCCGGATCTTTCCGGGAGAGGACGTTGCTCAGTTTGCCGCTGCCGGGCGGCACCATGACTGTGGCTGCAGGTGGGTGGGGTGTGGGGTTGTGGGGTGAAGGGGTGTGGGGTGATGATGATCTGTGCAAGGAAGACAGTAGGCGCCTCGCGTAGAGGAGGAGGGGTGTGAATGCGGCTCCAAAGAGGTGCAGCTCTACGCGTGTGTGTGTGTATGTGTGTGTGTATGTATCTGTGTCTGTGTGTGTATGTGTGTCTGTGTCTGTGTGTGTGTCTGTGTCTGTGTGTGTGTGTGTGAAAAGGGGAGTACCCCTTCCACTGGCCCGTGGTGGGCGGGGTGGGGAAGTGGGGTGGGCAGGGAGAGTGGGCTTCGCCACATGCGGCTGTGCTGTGGTGGGTTTCGGGTGGTGCGGATAGGGGCATACATACATACATACACGCGCGCGCGATATGCGGCTGCACTCCTCCTAGGGCCGCTCTCCCCGCAGCGAGTTGAGCCTGCTGATCTTTCTCTCATCCGCGGCCATCACCATCACCATCATCATCACCACCACCATTACCAGGGTACACCGAGGGGTGTCGCCGGGGGAAACGGAAAGTGTGGATTTGAATCTGGTTGTTGTCGTATCAACAACCCCTTCCCCTGTATGTGCGTGTGTGTGTATGTACGTATATCTGGATATGGGTATGATGATGATGATGATGATGATGGGCCGGTGCTGTCGGGCCGTGCGCCCTTGTAGGTGTTTCTACGGGAGCCACAGTACCCGCACACAACCAACAGCAGCAGCGGGAGGAGGAGGAGGAGGAGACGTGGCCCAACCAGCTGCGGGGGGCCGCAAGCGCTGCGGGAAGGGCTCCCGGCTCCGAAGGCAGTGAGGGCGGTGGAGGTGCTGGTTCCGGAGCGGAGAGGTCGCAAGCTGCGGCTCTCGGAGCCGGCTTAGGACCTCGGGGCCACAGGTGGGTGATGTGGGGGCTGCTGCTACGGCTGCTGCTACTGCTACTGCTGATGCTACTGCTGCTACTGCTGATGCTGCGGTATTTATTGTCATTATCGTTTATGAAGGAGCGGATGGGAGTGGTGCTTCCTGGGAGGGCGGGTTTACGGTGGTTTACGGAGGGTCATCCACCCGAGCAGTCTCCCCCCCTCACTTCCCCCCCCCGCCACACACACACACACACACACACACACACCGGGTCTTGTGTTGGCAGCGGCGGCCCTACCCCGCACCCGCAGCAGCTCGCCTGGTACCGCTACACAATGACGCCACCGCGCGGGGCGGAGAGGGAGGGGGAGGGGGCATCCGGGCGCCTCGCAAGAGCACCGCCGACATCGCCCTCGGCTGCCGCTATCGCCGCCGCCGCCGCCGCCGCCGCCGGGGCATCTGGACAAGTCAGGACGATGGCGGGCGCTCAGATGGCCCCTCGGCGGCGATTCCCTGCTGGTTCCGGAGCGGATTCAGCTGCTGCCGCGCCTGATCTTGTGTACGCCGGGGACCTCGCGGTGGCGGCGGCGGCGGAGGCAGCGGTGGCGGGAGAGGAAGGGGAGGCGGCGGCGGGTGCTGGGTCAAGCGTGGAGGGTGGGGTGGGCGGCGTGGAGGGGGGAGGACTGCTCGGCAGCGAGCCGGCGGGGGCGGAGGCGGCTGCTGCGGCCCGCAGTACGACCACACAGTCGCGGCAGTCTGAGCCCACAGGCGATCTAGGACCCTCCGGGTCCCAGCCGCCGCCGCCGCCGCCGCTGCCACCGCCACCGCCGTCACTCACTATCCACACCGGTAATGGCGGTGGCAGCGGCGGTGGCGGCGGCGGCGGCGGTGTTGATGTAGACATGGCGGACGTCGCGCCAAGGGAGGGCTCCGCCGCAGCGGCTCCGTCATCGCAGCCGTACCAGGTCCGCCGTCAGGCTCAGCTGCTGCAGACGTTGATGCGGGTGCCGCAGCCGTCCGGGGGGAGAGTAGGGAAGCAACGGAGGTTGACGAGGGCAGCGGCAAGGCAGCCCGTGCCGGAGCAAATGCGGCGGTCGACGCCGCCACTGCCGTCGCTGATGCCGCCGCCGCCGCCGCCGCCGCCGTTACCGCTGGCGCAGCCATCGCTGAGCGGTGGCTCGAGCGTTGTTGTTCCCGCGAACTCGTCATCCGAATCTTCCCGGCGTCGGAGCCCCTTGGGTCCTCCTCCGCACCAGCGGTGGTGGCGGCGGCGGCGGCGGGGGGAGCGGGAACCCTGCGGCGGCACTCGTAATCCTGA